ATGCATGTGGGGGGGCTTCCAGGCGCTTCCAGGCCGTTCCAGGGGCCTCCAGGGGCCTCCAGGAACTTCCAGGGGCCTGCGGGGGCGCAAAAAACCTGCAAGCGCCGCCTCGAACGAAAAATGCGCCCTGCCGCGTACTGCCAAAGCCTCGAACCTTGGGCGAGGCTGAAATTTCATGCGGGATGGTCAGGCTGGACTAGGGTAAGGGGAGTACAGGGGGTTTTTAAAGGGATCTGAACGCCCTAAGGCTGGATGCCTCGGCGAATTTTTACTAGGGTTCCAAGTTTACCATAGTCTAATTGTCAGGAGTACATTGGTGGTCTTTGGGGTACTCTAAACTGTGGATTACCCTCAACCCAATTACAAACCCTTATGCGGGAGGCAGCCATCGATACCGTGAACCGGGTTCAGGCTTATGGTTTCAGGAGTTTAGGGTTTAGAGACCCTTTAAAAACCATCGTTGCGGCTCTACATCTGAATTTTAAGCATTTTTACCTGACCCCTAAACCTCTCACAGCCCTAAATTCATTGAAGCCCTGAAGTCCTGAACTCCGTAAGGCCCCTACAAGAACATTAGCCCCTCAATATATATACGCATTTCCATTTATCAGGTGTAAGTCATTTTTTCATTATTCATTATATACCCTTAATATCTATATAAAGCCATAAAGAATCTTCCTATCTATAGCAAAACCATTCGGAAGCCCTTCAGATTTAAGACGTACCTAAAAGTATGTAAAATAATGGCCTTTATGGCTATTTTGGGTGGTTTAGGGCTATTATTTTACAGACTTTTGGCGTCTAGGTAAACTCCACGGAGGTCTCCTGGAATCGTCTCCACACCTATGGCCCGGCTCTTCTCGCACATCGTCCAGGCCATGAGCTATTTGGGTTCAGAGGTGTAGTGGAAAAGTGCATATGACACGCAGTTTTTGTCATCGGTCATAGGAGATATGTCAAGGCTGGACATTCGATTTGTGACGGAGGGTTTTTGAATGGAGAATGATAACACACCCACCAACAATGATAACGTCAACAAATACCCCGAAACTTGGAAAACGATAACACACTTACCAATTTTGGAATGACCAATAGCCCAGACAACAAATAGCAACCGTGCATTATATATATATGTAAATGTACATATGTCGATATATGTATATACATATGCATGTACATACATGAACATGTTGGGGTGTGTCGGCAGGAGTTCTTGTTTCCATTCAAGGCAATTCATTGGCTATTCTCCGGTCCATGTAAAGCGGTTTTAGTTAGGTAAAGTTTATGGGGATACATCAGGATATATAGAAAGTACATACGTATAACCAGGGATATGCAAGGATGTGTAGGCATGTACAGGCACGCACACCTACACACACACATAGTACATACATATATATATATATACACGTATACATTTATGTGTATATATATATATACACACATATATGCCCCCCCCCTCCCAGTGGTATCTACCATGTTAAGGCCGTCGGTCACTGGAGTAGCACAAAAACCATGGAGCAACCTTCTCGGGGGCCCTGTAGAAGCACTGTCCACTCAGAGGCCTCCAGCTCCCGGGGCCCTTCCCAAGGGCCTCCCAGGGGCCTGCCAGACACCTAGCGCTTTCTAAGAAGCTTCCAAAATCTCCAAAAAGGTTTTGAAGATTCTTGATCTGTTGGGCCACTGTGCTGGCCCCCCAACGATCCACGCGTGGAGGCCGGCCAAGGTCTCGGATACCCCATCCGCTGCTCGAATCCTTGCTTCTTGAATTTCACAAGCTCGAACCACGCACCGTCTGAGAATGCTGACCACAGCGGCGTGACGAGAAGTGAGCAGCAGAACTGGGGGAGAAAAGAAACAAGGAAGCTCACCTTGCTAAGGGGGTTTGGGGGGTAGGAACCCTAAACCTGAAAAGAGTTCTGTAAAGGTCTGTAGAGTTGTACAGAGTTGTTTTACGGTCTGTACATTTCTATACAGTTCTACAGCGTTCCGTATACACCTCTGTATAGACCTCTACAGAGTTCTAGAGAGCTTTCTTTAGAATTCGTTAACGAAGGTCGCTGAGAAAGGATTATGGAGACCCACAGAACCCTTCCTGGAGTTACAAAGAGCTCTTTGACACCTCTAAAGAAAGTTTCGTAGCGAATTAATAAGATCGATAGAATTCGAGAGTACTCCACCGAATTCCGAACAAGCATCTACAAAGCTCTCTGTGGAACTTCCTGCAGATTTCTCTATAGAATTCTCTATAGAGTTCTCTTTCTATTGAGTTCTCTCCGGGCCTACATAGAGTTCTACAGAAGTCTGAAGAAAATAAACAAAGTTCTCGATGGAGTTCTCCACCAGAAGCGTCTATAAACAATCCTCTATACAGTTGTTCCTGGAGTTCTCGCTAGAATCATCGTAAAGCTGTTCTTTCTATTCAGTTCTCTCTGGGTGTACGTGGAGTCCGTGGGGTTATATAGGATTTTTAAGGAATCTCTACAAAGTTCTCCCTTGGGTTCCCTAGAGAGGTCACT